CATTTCTGAAGAAGGGTCTTGGCCTGAAACGTCAGCTTTCCTGCTCCTCTGATGCTGCTTGGCCTGCTGTGTTCATCCAGCTCTACACCTTGTTATCTCAGATTCTCCAGAATCGGCAGTTCCTACTATCTCTGCTGAAGATTCCAACTAGGTTTGTCATGAGGCCCAGCTCAGACACTCGAGACAGATGGAGACACCAAGGTACTGGTGGCTAAACAGGGAAGAATGATGAGGTTCAGCAATAATGATGTTAGGGGTCTGAAGCATGAAGGCAGACTGGAGGCTGGTGGAATCACAGGCAGCCATTCAGCCCATCACACCTCTTTGAACAAGGATGTCTGGTTTTTCTAAAATTCATTCATGAGATGTGGGAGTTGCTGCCTCGACCAGCATTTCTTACTGATTCCTAGTTCGTTTAAAATTCCCACAGTGTGGAAGCAGGCCATTCAGCCCATCAAGTCTACACCAGCCCTCTAAGAAGCATCCCACCCAGACCCACCCTCCTACCCTTCTCCTGCATTTCCCATTGGCTAATCCACTTAGACTGCACATCCCTGAACACTATGGGCAATTTAGCATGGCCAATCCACCTAGCCTGCGCATCTTTGGACTGTGGGAGGAAACCGGAGCACCCGGAGGAAACCCACACAGACACGGGCGGAATGTGCAAACTGCACACAGACAGTCGCCCGAGGCTGGAATTGAAGCCGAGTCCCCGGCACCGTGAGGCAGCGCTTGAGAAGGGTGGTGGTGAACTGCCACCTTGAACTGCAGTAGGTACACTCAGGGAAGTTAGGGAGAGAATTCCAGGATTTTGACCCAGCGACAGTGAAGGAACAATGATATATTTCCAAGTCAGGAGTGGCCTGGAGGGAACTAACAGGGGATGGTGTTCCCATGTATCTGCTGCCCTTGTCCTTCTAGATAGAAGTGGTCATGGGTTTGAAAGGAGTTGTTTAGGGACGTTTGGTGAAGTTCTGGAGTGCATCTTGTAGATTATTTACAGTGCTGCTACTGGGAGTTGGTGGTGGAAGGAGTTTCTGAATATCCAATTAATCCCACTTCCCAATGCCTTTTTCCTCATAGCCATATAAATCTTTCCATTTTAAACACAAGCCACAGAAACAGACCATTTGGCACAACAGGTCTTTATGTTCCACAAGAACCTCTTCCCCATCCACCTACCAACTGCCCCCTCTGTGTAACTTTCTATTACTTTCTCCTTGACAGGTTTATCCAGCTTCCCCTAAAACATATCACAGCAAATCACCTTGACAATTCCCTATAGCAGCAAGGTCTGCATGTTCATCACTCCGAGTATTCTCCTGAATTCCAACTTGGATTTCTTGTCCCCTTCTCACAACCACAGGCTCAAATTCCTGATATTGAGAAACCATGAAGGTTTGTCCCTAGCAAGGTATTGTGTTGTACAAGAATTGGCCTCACTATTGTTGGGCTAATAGCGGAAGGATAATTTCACAAATAGTTGTTCAATTCTTCCTACAGAGACCTCGACAGGGAGGGGATCGAGCCAAGTTAGAAGCATAGAAAACAGGAACAGAAGTAGGCCTTTCAGCCCTTCGAGCCTGCTCCACCATTCAATATGATCACAGCTGATCATCCAACTCAGTATCTAGTTCCTGCTTTTTCTACAGACCCTTTGATCCCTTTAAGCCCAAGAAATATCTCTAACTCCTTCTTGAAAACATCCAATGCTTTGGCCTCAACCACTTTCTATGGCAGAGAATTCCACAGGCTCCCTACTCTCTGGGTGAAGACATTATCCTCATCTCAGTACTAAATGGCCTACCCCATATCCATAGACAGTGATCCCTGGTTCTGGACTCCCTAGTCATCAGGAGCATCCTTCCTGTGTTTACCCTGTCTAGTTCTGTCAGGATTTTATAGGTTTCTATGAGACATCCCTTATTCTTCTAGCCTCCAGTGAATGCAGTCCTTAACTGATCCAGTCTCTCCTCATACGTCAGTCCTACCATCCCAGGAATCAATCTCATGACCTTTATTGCACTTCCTCCACCGCCAGAACATCCTTCCTCAGATGAGGAGACCAAAACTGCCCACCATACTCAAGGTGTGGTCTCACCAAGGTCCTGTACAATTGCAGTAAGACATCCCTGCTCCTGGATTCCAATCCTCTTGCTATGAAGGCAACATACTGTTTGCCCGCTTTACCCCATGCTGCACCAAGAGACCCAATTATTCAAGTTCACAGGTGGCCAATGCTCATTCAGTCACTGTGTGAAGGGCTGATGATACAAATTGTTAACTCAGAGATAATGGGGAGAAAAATATAGTTCACATGAACAGAAATATCAATTAGGAGCAATTTATGCTCATCTTAAAGTTTGGTTAATTTTTATGTATTCTACTGAAACAGGTTTTCCACTTTCATTATATCATGGGGTTTCCACGATATTCCACGATATACTCATGGCATGTAGACATTGTGAACTCCTCATTTGATTGCTTTATTTTACATTAGGAACTTACCAACGTCCCTGTTGCCTCTGCCTGACTCTCCCCACGTCTTTCTTCATCAAATTCTTCACCAGACAGACTGGCTGTATCACTTTCACTCAGCTCTTCATCACTTTCTTTGCTATCATCACTGAACGAAGAATCCTCTTGGATGAAGGAAGAAAAACAGATGTGCATTTACGTCTCATCTTTTATGACTACGGAATGCCCAAATTTTTATGGCTACAATTCAAACATAATTTTTTTGGATCTAATGCGTAGACAAAATAACAGCAGCCAATTTATACACAGCAAACTCCCACAGTTGATAATTAGCTGATCACCTCATTTATTTGTCTCTGTTGAGGGATAAATTGGCCAGGGTGCCATGGTCATGGGACATTCACAGTAACCTGAGGGGGTAGACAAGACAAAGAACAATACAGCACAGGAACAGGCCCTTTGGCCCTCTAAGGCTGAACTGACACATTTTGTCCTTCCATACTAAAACTGTCTTCACCGACAGGATCCATATCCCTCTATTCCCTTCCTATTCATGTATACATCCAGGTATTTCATGAATGCTGCTACTGTGTCTGCTTCCACCACCTCCTCTGGCAACGCATTCCAGGAACTCACCAACCTTTGTGTGAAAAACTTGCCTCACACATTTCTTTTAAATTTCCCCCCTTGCACCTTGAACCTGTGTTCTAGCAATTGACCCCTCCAGCCTAGGAAAAAGCCTCATACTTTCCACTCTATCCCTGCCATTCCTAATCTCATCAACTTCTATCAGGTCGCCCCTGACTCTTCTGACTGATGATAGTGTAGCGAAAATGTTATGCTGGATGAGTAATCCAGAGGCCAGCTGGATGCTATTGGAACACCACAACAGTTTATGGAACTTTAGTTCAATTAATTTCTTCTGAGCTGAAAGCAAGAACAAAACCCCATCTGGTTCACTAATGTCCTTTAGGGAAAGCAATCTGCTGCCTTTACCCGGTCTGACCTACATGTGACTCCAGACCTGCTGCAATGTGGTTGACTCTTGACTGCCCTCCAACAAGCCACTCAGTTCAAGGGCAGTTAGGGATGGGCAACAAATGCTGGCCCAGCCAAAGACAGCCTCATCCCAGGAAGGAAGATAAAGAAAGGTGTGCCATAGCCAAGGTCAAAGGAATGATGCTGCATTAACATAGCTCCTTATCATACCCTGGGATTCACACGTTTAACACAGTGACAACCTCAGGAATCAGCCTGCCAACATTAATCAGAAAGCAGGCTGCCAGGAGGATGGTACAGACTGGACGATGGTGCAGACTGGCAGGTTTCAGATTGTGAGAGGGCCCAAGCAGCAATAAATCTTCATGATTTGCACCTTCCTGTGTCTCCTTCTGAAGATCCTTCATTTCCCTTCAGTTTCCAGTCCCGGATGGAAACCTGCCTCAGTCATGGCCCAAAATTCCTTCCTGATAGTTACACCATCATGGTTAAGGGAAACATAACTAAGCACAAGGGAGAGGCAGACAGACTGCAGAATTGTTAGGGCACAAAAGGAGGCCATTCAGCCCATCGGGCCTGCACTGGTTCTATCACCTAGTGTTAATCTCCTGCCTTTTGCCCATCTCTCTGCACACCAATCCTATCCAAAAAAAAACCATCCAATGATCTTCTTGAATGCCTCAATTAAACCTGCCTCCTCCACATTTCCAAACAGGACATTCCAGACACTACTAGCTGGGAGACAAAGGTTTTTTTTTAAATTAAAATCACCCTGGTTTCCATTGCATATCACTTTAAACCCTCTCGTTCTCATTCCTTTTAAGGAATGGAAACAGCTTCTCCCTGTCTACTCTGTGCAGCCCCCGCTGTTTTTTGAAAAGCCTCAATCAGACCTCCTCTCGGTCTCCAAAGAGAACAGTCCCAACTTCTTCATTCAAACCTCATAACCTAAGGTTCCCATTCGTGGAACCATTCCTGTAGACTCGGACGAGGGGGAGAACGTGAATGGGGGGAGGGGGTGGAGGGAAAGGGGGAGAGATGGATTTATGAGGAGGATCCACACCAGTACGGACCCGTTCGGCCGAATGGCCTCTTACTGCGTTGTTAAATATAATGTAAAAAGGATTGAACAAAGGCAGCGAGAGAGAAGAAGAATCCACCAGAAGGGCCCTCAGGGAAGAAGGTTAGTTTATAAACAGTTTAACCCACTGCCAGGAAATCTTACTGCGGCTGGCACCAAGTCTGTAGTTTCTGATCAGTTTCGTTTCGCTTTCTGAACGTTACAAGAAGAGATGACAGGTCGCTCTCTCACAAGGTGGGGGGGCTGGGGTTTTAGTAGGGGGTTCTGACCCCAGGGTCAGTTCACTCCGCTTTACTGGGGCAGATACTGACACCCCCGCAATGCCAATTCAACCCCCCCCACAACAGCAGCGATGGGATCAAAACAAATCTTCCAGCCTTCCCCCAACACCCAGCCCATTCTGTAACTCCAACTGTCTGGGGGCGGGGGGAATGGGCATACCCCCTCCTAACCCGAAATGAACATGGGGGTTAATTTCACCCCGAATATTGCCCATCACTCACCTTCTGATGAATCTACTCTCGAAGCCATTGCTGAGCCCCTAAAACAGGAACAGGACTGAACTCCTCTGACAGCAAGCCACTGAACCACTTTCAGTTTCTCTTCATTGACCCAAACAGCGGGGTGAGGGTGGAAACCTGAACTCCTCCCCACTGAGCTCTGGACAATCCCCTTCCCGAGAGTCAGGCCAGTTTTCATTTGCGACGAAAATAACCTGGACACATTTAAAATTGTTGCAACAAATGTCCCTTAACGCAAAACAAACAGGCAAACCGAGTCCAAGTTACAAGTTGCACTGGGATCTTGTGGTAATGTCCCTACTTCTGGACCCGAAACGTCAACTTTCCTGCTCCTTTGATGCTGCCTGGCCCGCTGCGCTCCTCCAGCCCAACACTGTCTTATCTTTAAATTAAGATTGGGCTAGGTTTTGTTGCTGAAAATAACAATTGGTGCATGCGTGAATCTAAGGATAAATGTTACGAGGGGGGCTATCCACAAATGTCCATATTTGACACTCATTCACTGGTTACTTCTTCATGCAATGTTTTGACCAATCAGAGCCAACTGCTTGGTCTAAAATTTAAACAAAGTCTGGCCGATAATTGTCAGTCATTATTAACTGGTGCTTTGCCCATGGCCATGCCTGGAATCATAGAATTTTACAGTCCAGAAGGAGGCCTTTTGACCCATGGCTCCTGAATGAGCTACCCAGCCAGTCCCACTCTCCAGCCCTATCTCCATAGTCCTCTAAATTCATCCCTTTCAAATATATATCCAGCTCCCTTTTGAAACCTCCTATGGAATCCACCTTCACCTCTCTCCCAGGCAGCGCATTCCAAATCCTAACAACTCTCCTTATCACACTCCTGGCTCTTATGGCTGCTACATCACTAAGGAGAAGGTAGATAAATCACCTGGACCAGATTACCACACCCCAGAGTTCTGAAAGAAATAGCTGAAGTATTCAAGGTGATCTTTCAGGAAGCATTGGATTCAAGGATGGTCCAAAAGAACTGGAAGATGGCAAATGTAATACCCTGTTTAAGAAGGGAGGGAGACAGAAGACAGGAAACTGTAGCCTGACCTTGGGTCCTTGGTAAGAATTTAGAGTCCATTATTAAGGATGACAGAGCAGAGTATTTGGAAGTGCATGGTAAAATAGGGCTGAGTCAGCACAGCTTTGTCAATGGGAGGCCATGCCTGACAAGTCTGGTAGAATACTCTGAGGAGATAATGAGCAAGTTAGACAAAGGAGAGCCAGGGAATGTGATCCATTTGGATTTCCAGAAAGCCTTTGACAAGGTGCCACACAGGAAGCTGCTAAATCATATAAGTGCCCATGGTGTTAGGGGCAAGGTATTGACATTGATAGAGGGTTGGCTGACTGGCCGAACGCAGAGAGTGTGGATAAAGGATTGTTTTTCAGGATGGCAGCCGGTGATTGGTGGAGGTCTGCAGGGGTCAGTTTTGGGACCACAACTTCATGTTATACATAAACAATCTGGACGAAGGAACAGACGGCATTGTTGCTAAATTTGCATATGACACAAAGATAGGTGGAAGGGAAGGTAATGCTGAGGAAGTGGGGAGATTGCAGAAGGCTTTGGACAGGCTAGGAGAGTGGGCAAAAAAGTGGCAGATGGAATACAATTGGAAAAGTGTGAGGCTATGCATTTTCAGAGGAAAAATGGATGCACAGACTATTTTCTAAATAGGGAAAGACGTTGGAAACCTGAAGCACAAAGGGATTTGAGAGTCCTAATTCAGGATTCTCTTAAGGTTAACATGCAGATAGGAAGACAAATGAAATGTTAACATTAATTTCGAGAGGCATAGAATACAAGAGCAGAGATGTACTGCTGAGATTGTGTAAGGGTTTGGTCAGACCGCACTTGGAACATTGTGAGTAGTTTTGGGCTCAGTATCTAAGCAAAGATGTGTTGGCCTTGAAGAGGATCCAGAGGAGGTTTACAAGAGTGATCCCAGGCATGAAGGGCTTGGCATAAGAGGAGCAGTTGAGAACTCTGGGTCTGTACTCAATGGAGTTTATGGGGGAATATGTTTGAAATTTTCCAGAATACTGAGAGGCCTGGATGGAGTGGACATGAAAAAGATGTTTCCATTAGTAGGAGAGAACAGGACCTAGGGGCACAGCCTCAGACTGAAGGGATGACCTTTTAGAAATGAGATGAGGAGGAATTTCTTCAGCCAGCGGGTGGTGACTCTGTGGAACTCATCGCTGCAGAGGTCTGTAGAGGCCAAGCCATTGAGTGTATTTAAGACAAAGATAGATAGGTTCATGATTAGTAAGGGGATCAAGGGTTATGGGGAGAAGATTGGAGAAAGAGGTTAAGAAATATATCAGCCATAATCAAATGGTGAAGCAGACTTGATTGGCTGAATGGCCTAATTCTGCTCCTATATCTTATGGTCTTACAGCAATATCCTTCTTTACCCTGTCAAAATTGTTCAAAACTTTTAGCACCTCAGTAAAGTCACCGTATACTCTTCCCTGCTCCAAGGAAGTCAAGCCCAATTTCTCTTATCTTTCCTGGTATCTAAAATTCCTCATTGCTGGTATCATTGTGGAAAATATCCATTGCACTCTCTCTTCCTTAAATAAAGTGCCCAAAATTGAGCACAATACTCTAAATGTGGTCTGACCAATGACTTGACCAATCAGATTCCACTTTCCAAACAATTAGTGCTCTCTTGTCTTTCCCCCTTAAATTGATATCCTTGTGAATTACCCTGAGGACTCCATGATGGAAAGCCTTGATAAAATGTGCCTTTTTTCAGTAAAACTCAAATATCTAAAAGTTACTGTCTCAATTGTGCAGTTTTGATGACATTGAACAGTGTGAAGATGCCATCCTTACATTGTAGATACAAACTGAAGCTGACACACACACAGTTAAGTCTTGTTGTTAGTCATGATGTGGAGGTCCCGGTGTTGAACTGGGGTGGGCAAGGTCAGGAGTCACATGACACCAGGTTATAGTCCAACAGGTTTATTTGAAATCACAAGCTTTCGGAGCGTTTCTCCTTTGTTAGGTGAACTCTGAAAGCTTATGATTTCAAATAAACTTTCGGACCATAACCTGGTGTTATGTGACTTCTGACCTTGTTGTTAGAAGTGTAAGTTACTTTTTACAAAAATGTTGATTATTGAGGAATGAAAGAGATAAGCTGGTGAAGCAGTTAATCCATCTGGACACTCATAGAAGAAC